TTCCCCCTTACCCCTCCCTCCCTCCTTACCGCTGCCCCTTTCCTTCTCCCCCACAAGTTTCCCATCATAGTTCACGTTAGAACAGAGATTTCTCAGCTCCCTTTCCCCTCTTGGAGGGATGAGACTTCTTCCTTTTGTTCCTCCTTCTAGAAAACTAAATCATCTCCCCTTCTCTCCCTTCCACCGTAGCGTGAAGAATTGTTGAGGCCTGATCCCGATTGCCCTTACAAGAGACACTCAACAGATCACTAGTGGCCCCAATGTTTGCCAAAACCCAGTCTTTGCCTAAGACTCCTGCCTATCAATATCACTGCCCATACCCTCCGGACGCACAACCGCCAGAGGATCAACTAAACCTAGATCAGAGTGACCCTCCTCCTCCCACAAGATCATATCAAGAAACCTACCCTGATTATGGGCAGTGACCTCCCCTCCCTCAGCCTCCTCAACCTCATCAAAACAAGACTTCTAGTCAATAACACTGTCCACCCCACCGTCTTGAGCACCAGTGAAAGGATCTTGATCACAAGGAGGCAAATCATCTGTCAGACACCTATGCTTCTGTAATTCCTTCACCAGCAAAGAGGTTGAATCCTCACTAAGAGTTATACGGATAGTCGGATATCATTGCCCACGTATACAGTCATCATATCTGGCAAACAAACTGTCTGAGATGAGGCCAGTGCAACACCCTTGGGTAAGCACAAACCAGCATGAGTCTTAGCCAACCCACCTAGCTCATCCCCATATGTACCACACTGAAACGAAGAGGAGGAAAATCAGAGCAAGAGTCATCCTGCCCATCACAGTTACGTTCAATACCTACATCCACAAACAAACTGATCGTCCCATCCCTTTTTGACGGTCCAAAAGTCCCACACCCGGTAGAATCAATGTCCAATATCTCATCATCATACTCCACCTTTACCACTGGCGATAATTTCCGAGACTTTCCACCAAGATCCTACCCCACCTCGTTCCTCTCCATCCCACAAGAAAGAGTAGAAAAAGAAGGAGCTCCGAGGAAGAGAAGAAGGGTACATACCAGTTTCGGGAACCACCTTGCGGGCGACCCATTTTTGTTTCTCATTTTTGGTCCATCTTCTACTGGACTGATGCGATCTACTCGAAGAATATCCATCTTCCTTGAAGGATGCACAACTGCCATTGTCGTCGTCACAAAGAGAGCCCGAATGAAGCAACCCAAATCTATTCCCATAAATCAAATTCTAACAACACTCACCATGTCGAAACTTCTTCGATCCCTACCCAACACCCTTCTTTTTCTTTATACTCACGTTTACCCAATTCTCCTTCTCCGTCTTTCACCAGACTCTCAAGTCCTCCTTCAGCTGTGCCGAGTCTTCAAGATGGCCGTGAGACTCAAAGTTGGGAACCATTGCAGAAAATTGGTTGGGTTGCAAGCTAGAGATCGAAACAGATAAGGACCTATTTGGGCCCCAATTCACCACCCTTTCATTAGAATGATTGGCTTTAACCAATGCAGGCTAAGGAACAAAATTTGGTCCAAGAGACTTGGGCCTATCATGCCCAACCCCACATAAATCCCTCGACCCACCCTTCACTGCCCAGAAAAACGAAGTTAACCCAAAAGACTTAGGCCTAACATTCCCCACCTAACCATCAACCCTCGAATCAACCTGCACTGGCCCACGCTGAATTGGCCCAATCCTACCATGCCCATCAGAAAAGGAATTCAAGCCTCCCTAACCACATGTGCCTCGTCATGTGCTAAATTAGCTGTCCTCCACCCACAACGGGAGGCAGCCTTTCACCATCCACGTGTCCCACTGACCTCCCTCCCTCTCCCACTCGCCTTTGGCGTATGTCTTGCCACACGTCCCTGTCCTTGAATCCGAAGACCTTGCCGATCCATTCTCTGAACCTCCGGCTCGCTCCCAGACTTGCGAGACAGGCGTACCCTTCTACCCGTTGCCTCCGGTGGCCTCAACTCATTGTTTCTGGCGCAGGACATGGAAACCAGCACAAGTGAAGGAGCAACTTCCTCTGTTAAAGAAATTCGGAAGGCCCACTGTCCGTCCTCCACAATAAAAAACTCTGAGATCTCACTGCCTTCAAGCATAGTAATGACAATCCTCTCCGTCTCGCTCAATTCATACGCCTCAACATCCCAAAAACCTCCCCATAAATCCCCAACAGCGACAAAGAGCTTCTGACACCATAGATGTAGAGGAAGGCCGTATACGATAATTCTCCGGTAGTTAGCCTTTTTTCTCAACCCGAAGCACCCAACCTTGTAGCACAAAAGGTCGATAAACAATTGTGCCTATCCCCAAAATTTCTTACCCTTAGCCAGAACCTTCTGTGCCTCCATAATCAACGGGAACCGGAACAACAGAAGACCATCGGCCAACGATGAAACCCTAACCCCACACGAGATCTGCCAAACCTTTCAAGCCCACTCTTCGATCTTCTCCAAAGTCCCCACCTCTCTGTCAAACCTCCCAACAAGGCAAGATCTAAGCATGGATTCGCTAGTAGAGGTGTTGTGATTGTCCACCCTAAACACATGACCACTGCACGAAGAGACACGCTCCACCTCTCCTTGCAAATCCAGCCGAGGAGGCTTGCGACCTGCAAAAAAGACAACTTCTGTCCATCAAAGGCTCTCATGAAAGCAGCCAAAACGACTTATCAACAAAAAAAATGTAAGCAGCCAAAACGGAACGCCCACTGAGACCAAAAACACGAGAGAAAAGAGAAAAACCAAGGAAAGTAGCAGAGGATTTCACTGGAATAGATGACTCCGGTGACTGGTTGGAGCAGTAGGCTCAGGCCGCGTCTCTGTTACGAGAACCATTCTCTCTCATCTTGAGAAGCATTCGCCAGAACCTTATGGGCAATTGAACACTCGACCTTTTACTTTGGAATGCGAGGCAAAAAAAGAAGCATTTTCTATGTAGCCACTGATTTTTTAGGATCTTTTATGCACTAAGACTCTTTTCGCAGCCATCGGTTTATTTATTTTGTTAAAAATTATAGTTTCTACTTAACAACTCCTTTCTTGAGAAATTTATTATTTGTAAAGAGAGGATCTCTTTTGGGTTTTACCAAGGACCTAAGAGGTTTTGAAATTTTGATTGTACATAGTTTTTAAAGCCATTTTTTGGAATGATGTTTTTGGTAGAATATCGAAGGAAGAATTCAAAAGGTATTAGAATTTTCTTAGTAATCCATATGACCTCACAAGAAGTCATTTCTAAAAGCTCTCTCGGACTTCAACTAGTACTTTTGAAGAATTGGATTTATCTTAAAATTTTGTTAGTAATCATTATTTTCTTGAAAAGGACTTTTGGGGCTTTAAAGTCCTCCTTTTTAAAGACTCTCAAAATCTCCTCTAATGCTATTTATAAAATTTATATTGACATATGCGTCGAAATAATGTTTATTGAGATGTACATGTCATAATAGTAGATATATTTCTATAAATGTAGTTATTTGATAGGAACCATCAAACTATTATGATTTTTTTTTTTTTTTGATAAATAAATAATTCATTAAAAAAAGCATTCAAAAGGGGAACGCATCCCTAACAAAACACAAAAAACCTGGATACCCTAAGGCCCCAAGGAAGCCAACAACTCTATAGTCTCCTCAGCAGAAGAACAGAGCCTACTCGAACCCCAAAAACAAAGAGAGCTAATAACAGAAGATTTCAGAACAGTGATGGAAGATTCCTCTCCTTTAAAGGATCTTCTATTTTGCTCCCTCCACAAACAGCACCAAAGACATAAAGGCGCTATCCTCCAGAACCCTCGAGCCTATGCTCCCACCTGGAGCCGGTCCTAAGATTGACAAAATCTTGAGAGGCCCTAGGCGAACTTAAATTTGAGGCCCTTTAATTACTGAAATACACACTAACATACACATAATGTAGTAAAGGGCAATATCGAATTTAATCACCAAGTTTTTAAGGGCCCTAATTTTGAATGGGCTGTGAATTCGTTTAATCGAATGGTCCTAAGTTTTTATTTTATTTTATTTGGGCCTATCACTCATGGAAAGGGGCCTGAGTTTTTTTCCTTTTATTTCGGTCTATCACTCATGATAAGGGGCCTAAGTTTTTTTTTTTTTTTTTGAACCTATCACTAATGGGCTCGAAAATTTTGAGGGCCTCTAAATGTTGAGGCCCTAGGCGACCGCCTTGGGCCGGGGCCGGCCCTGCTCCCACCCAACCCCCTCTCCAGGTGTCCATCAGGTCTTTCGTAGATCTAGGCATAACCCAACAAACTCCAAACAAACCTAGCAAAAGGTTCCAACAAACCACTGGACAATGAAAGAGAAGATGATCAACCGACTCGCCATTGCACTTACACTTGCAACACAAATTCACCGTGATACGCTTTCTCCTTCTCAAATTATCCAATGTCAAAATTTTACCCCACACAACTGTCCAAACAAAAAAGGCCACTTTCAATGGCGCCTTAGCAAACTATTATGATTTAAATTTCATAAAGTCTAATTTACCTCCCTTATATTTATTTACTCCCTCTGTTGTAAGATAACTGTCCCTCTTTCCTTGTAGGGCGTCCATACTAAGTGTCCCATGGGCCATAGTAGGTAGTCTATATTGGATTTATTTGCAGGCATAGTTATAACGATAGATGTAAATTTTTTCAGTGATGGCAGGTGGAATCGTCCCTTATGTCTTTCGAGACTTATGTTTACACAAACAATTTTTGGGTCTTGTTTGCAGAAAATTTGTGTTTTAATTAATGCTAAGTGGGGTAGTTGCAAGGTTCTTCTTATGTCTTCTGAGATCTGTTAAAACAATATACTTGATTGCGTTGAACCATAATGCCTATAGGTGCATGGCTGTTAATGCCAATACGGTACATTTTTATGCTTCAACTTTCTGGACACCTTCAACTTCATGTTTTTTTTGTTGTTGCCTTTTTTCTTTATTTGTTTTTTTGTCTTTCTTAACTATCGTTTCTTTCTCTCTTGTCATTCAACAGATAAAAGCTGTCCTTGATGTTGCAACAAAGGTCAACCATATAGTGCTATTGTCAGGGACACCTTCTTTGTCAAGGTTGTAACAGTAGGCCTCTGACAGAGTCTCACAGATTGGCAGAATAGTATTTTAAAATTGCATTTCATCTCTGGGCTTGTGATTTTCACTCATTCATCTTCCATTGATATTCTTTTTCTGCCTCAGTTTTCATTTGGTCATTTTTATGTTATTGTTATTTTCTCTGTTTTCTTATTATGTTTGATACATTTTAATATTGTACTTGGCATGCTCTCCTAGGTGATCATAGGCCATATGACATTTTTCATCAGATAAATATGCTATGGTAAGTTCCATTTTTCACATATCTTCCAAGCTGATTGGATTTGTTTTTTTTCACTTTATGGTTTTGTTTATTTGGTGCAACTTTCTGAAAAATGCTTCCTTCATTTAGGCCTGGTTTGCTTGGAAAGGATAAATATGAATTTGCAAAAACTTACTGTTCTGTCAAAGTTGTCCGTCGTCGTGAAGGAAAATCTTTCATGGTAAATTTTGTATTTCTATTTTTCAAGTTCATAAAAATTTGCCTATCATTCCCTAACCCCAAAACACTTCCCTTTCAGTGGGTTTGCATACTGTTTGCAGTTACCTGCAATGAATGGTTCTTGTTACTGCAACTCCTTGGAAAATAATTATACTGGTGTTGCATGTTATCATAAATATTCTGCTCTGGTTCCTCAGTGTTTCATTACCTCTTATGAATTTTAATGAGATTGTGTGTGGTGGGCAGTGGAGATGTTAATAATTACTTAAGTGAAAAATTATCAAATTACATGTTACTCTAACTTTTTTTTGATGGTTTTATGTGGCGATTGAAATATATAACATGTATTATGGTCTAATCCTTGCAGGATTTTTCGAAGGGCATTCGTTTGGAAGAGCTGAACGTTCTACTAAAGCAAACTGTTATGGTGTGCTCTTGTTCTCTTTTTGCATCTTGCATTGCTGACTTTATAATTTATAAGACCCTTTTGGTGCACATGGAATAAAATCGTGGAATAGAATCTCATTCTGCAAAATCCTGTCTATTGTTGCTACGTAAAGATGACCCAGGATGGAGTACAAATTTGATCGAATTCCAAAATTATATTCTCAACTGGATGGTGGAATTGAGATTCCATTTTCAAGGGAATGGTTAAGAGAACATATGTTACATAAACTGACCAAATTATCCCAAACATTATATGATGTAATATATGTACATGTTATGAATAATAAGAATTGTTACTATAGAAAATATAAAAAATTAAATTAAATACATACAATAATGTTCTTACTTATCAAAAAAAAAAAAAAAGGTTCTTATAATGTACATAAAAATTTATATATATTACTTATTATATAATAAGTAATATATTATCGCATAATACAATTTTGAAGATGGCATAATTTAATTAAGGGATAATTACACTAATCTCCCTTGAAAAAAAAAAAGCATAATTACAGCCATCTCCCCCGTGTTTTTTCAAAATAACACTGGCCTCCCTTGTCAGTAACAGTTTTGTAACACTGCCCCCCTCTATCATTACGGCCACTGATGGTGATGGCTGGAATCTGATGATGTTATGGTTAGTAAAAATTGAAAATTCAATTTTACTCTTATGATGTTTGAAAAGACATTACTGTCCTTATGTAGTAATGGTAAATGACCAAAATACCCATTTGCAGAAAATAAGTTGACAAAAGTGTCCTTTGCTCAATCTATACACAGTGTTATTTGTACCATCATCACTATTATTAAACATAGGAATAGACCATGAAAGAACATGTCTAATTCATATAGAACATTAACACTAAACCCACCACCAACACCGTTATTAAATATAAGACCATACTGACCCAAATTCCTAAACATTGAATACTTAATTTTAGAAAATAAATTAAAAAGGAAAAAGAGATTAAAAAAATTCCAAAACTACTAACCATTTTTTGACGTTCATCAATGGGCCTCACAGTAGCTGACATATTACAAACCATCACATTAACAAATGCATCAGATTTCCAAGTTGATTATGTGCTAAAGTTTGAGTTGAGAATGAATTCTAAGCAAGTTCAAGCAATAGTCATTTTGGGTTCAAATTCTACAGTTCACCAGAAACAGCCACTCGCCCACTCCCCAACTCTCTCTCCTCCTTTATCTTCTTCAATCTCTTCTTCTTTAGCTTCATCTTATAGCACTTCTTTGACCAAACAATTGACCCCACAGCCAACAGCTCCTACTAGCTTTTGATCAAACAAATCCTTTGATGAAAATGTATTTCTATGCTAATCAATCAAATTTCTCTCTCAGGTTCATCATATTCTCTAAGTTGGTCCATGTCTGTAATTGTATCTTAGTTGAAAATGAAGGAATTAGATTTCTCGCTCACAGGTTTTGATAGATTTTTCTGTAATAGGTTCTCTCTCTAAGTACTCTTTCTTTGATTTGATATTTTTGAAAAAGATGAATGAACACGATGAGAAGATGAAATGTGAATAGATGATGTAATGTGAAAAAGGTGAAAATCCGTTCTCAAGTGTGAAAGGGCAACTTAGTCTCTTTATCTTGCAAGATTTCTTCAATTAAATAATATATAAATATACATCAGTAATATGGTCATTTTGCACTTTTTGTTTGGTACGTTGCTCTGACATTACTGACAGGAGGTCAGTGTTATTTTTGAAAACTAAGTGTAGGTCTTTGTCATTTAGCCTATTTTCAGGGAAGGTCAGTGTAATTTACCCTTTTATTTAAGCAACACGTAGTACAGTACATGGGGAATATTAATGAAGAATAATATAGTAGTGCTATAATAAGCTTATAAAAAATTAGCAAAAATTTTTTTAAGGGCACTTTAGAAAATTAACTTGAATTCAATTTACATTCTAGCCTATCTTGGCCAAATCAAACGCTAGAATAGAATTCAAATTTCCTTCCAAGTCATTCTTCTCTCATGCAACCATATGAATGAGCAGAAATGTCATTATTCATTCTACGTATGTGAAACAGACATGGCAAATTATAGACCAATAGTAAATTCATAGTCATTTTCTGTTAATTCAGACATGTAGTACACCATAATTTTATTGCAGAACTTAAACAATATAGAAGCTATGGAAATTATCTGCACCAATTGTACTCATTTATAATTATTTTAGCAGTGTGAATGGTTGTTGTTTGTCATATTAGTATTTAATAATTAATACTACATTGATTTCAATCCTCTGTAGTTGTGGTTGGTTCTATTAAGTTTAACTCCATCATCTTCATTAATTAGACAGTCTCAATGACCTCAGAATATCATCTCGATTAGAACTTCTTGTAGGTATACGTATTACTCGCTGTGCGCTTACTACTATTATTATAGTTGCAAATCATCATATACAGTTTAATCTTGTGAGTGCAGCTAAGGATAGTTTGTAAGAAGTGCTCTTACTTATATTCTCTTGAGGAGCAAAGTAAAAAAAATTAATTTACCATACGACTTAGTTCAGTGTTTGTGTTTTTATCAATTCAAGAGTGTGTAATGTTTTGTTGTATGTTTTGGTATTCTAGATAAGACGGTTGAAGGCGCATGTGCTAACGCAGTTACCACCCAAACGACGGCAGATTATAAATTTGTTGTTGAAGAGAGCTGATATTGATAAAGCATTGGATGTTGGTGGGATTGTGGACAAGGATGCTTCTGAAAAAAATGTTGCTGAAGATGAGCCTTTAAATATTTCTGATAAACTCGATGGTGACTTTTCTCAGATATTTGATATCTTGTTATGTGGATATTTTTCCTTCTTGTGTGTATGTGTGTGTGTGTGTATATATATATATATTTGTTTATTAAAGAAATTCAAATTTGAATGTTCCCAATTATTTGCAATCTTTTGTGAGTTTTGAGATAGTTACTATGGTGATGCTCAGGATTCTAGATTTCTTATGTAGTATGTCTATATTGCAGATTGGTAACTTAGGATGTGTAGCTGAACCTCCTAGATAGTTGTAAGAAGAATTCACGGAGCTCAATTGTGCATTGTGAAACTTATCTTATAGTTTTATAGTTGTACAACTCTGATCTGTGATTTGTATTTTAGTCTAGTGATGTAGTAAAGTGGTAATATACTATAGAAGTGATGTATGAGCATTGTGTGTATCTGAGACTTTCTTTTTTACTTTTTTTTTACATGTTGATTAGATTGGAATTTGTTATGGCCCTAGAGAGACTAGAATGGTGAAAACACACTTTTTTAGTCAACTGTGCCTGATGGGCTATTGTTTTGTTGAGTTGTGTTGAAATCTAAAGAGATTGAAATCAGAGATTTAGACTTCGATTCTTTTTGCCGTTGAAATTTAATGGAAGTTTAATCTCTATTACGTACTTCTTGGAATACTTCTGCTATCAATCTGTTGGGTAACATGGGAAATACTTCAGAATAGCTTACCACTTGGAAACTATATGATTTAAGGACATTCTCTAGGATTCCTTAACAGATGTTGGATACTTTTTTTTATTATATCTTGAAGAATACTTTAGCCTATGGTCATCGGGATATAGACATTGTTCTCACCAGAAGAAAGGGATATAAATATAGTAATTATCTGGCATGCTGATTACATGTTTATATTTTAAGTTTCTAATTATCCCAAAATATGTCTAGAGGCTTCTGAATTGAAGTTTTTGATTTATGGGTAGAGAAGGCATGGTAACGTGCACAAATTTATAAGCAAGTATAGGTATTCTGAAGCGGTGTTTGTTGGATATCAACACTACTTAGGCACTCCTAGAAATGTGTCTGAAACTTCTTTCAACTGCTATAATTTGAAATCAATGTTCATAATTTTTGGAATTCTACAACAAAAAGGTGTCGCACATGGCTGGCACAAGTCAGGCATGCAAGGGACACATTTCAATATAGGAAGACAGCAAAGTTGTAAAAATAAAAATACATTATGGGAGTTGCAGTTGTTACATAACATTATTATGCATATATCATATGTTGAGGTCCTACTAAGGTGCTGTTTAATAACCTATTTCAGCACTTAATTCTGAATATGTTAAGTGCTTATCCAATTAAGTGCGTTTGATAAAGCATTTTGAATATCACTTAAAAAAAATAAGTGCTGCTTAAAATTTTAAGTGACAGTGATTTCATTTATCACTAAGTGCTGGACACTTAAAATCTAAAAAGAATTGGAAAAAAAAAAAAAAAATTGTATTTACAATTACCGCTTAAAACTTTTAACATTTAAAATTCAGCTCTTAAAATTTTCGCTCCTTAACTTTCTGTTTTATCAAGCAACACCTAATGCAATTTATACAATAATTTAGATAATTTATCAAATTTTTATATTTGTCATATTCTTATGTAATGTGTGTCTGTGTATAATAATGTCTATTAATATGCTATGTCCTGTTTATGCTTTATCCTGCCTTTTTGGATATCCAGTTGCTGATGTATCCATGTTGTATTATGTCCATGTCTCTTTTTGTGTCCATGCTTCCTGGTGCATATAACAGTATCTTATGCATTTCTACCATGTTCCCGTCTTGTTTTCAGATACTGGTGGATGTCGCAGATCTTCAAGGAAACTTTCTGAGCAAGAACTTGGTATTGCAAAGCTGTCAGGATTTTGCGAGTGGCTTTCCATGCATCCAATCATTAAAGAGTTGGATGGTGAGGAAAACAGGGAATTGAGCCTAAGCTCTAGTAAAATGATAATATTTGCTCATCACCATAAAGTTCTTAATGGAGTACAGGTGAGAAGTTCCTTCCCGTTGAAGAAGTTCCTCCATACTAAATGGAAACTAAAAGCATTTCCATTGTTGTATGATCTGAACCAACTTGTTTTTGAGCTAGTGGAATTGCTCCATAGAGACTTGGGAATATGTCATGAGATATATATATATATATATATATATATATATATATATATATATATTAAATCAAAGTCAAAATTCTCTTAGAATGTTGCCTTTTTCTCTTGTTGTCAACATGTCATTAAAAAAAGACAGTGCAAGCTATGAACTTCTTGTGGTGTGGATATATATTAAATCAAAGTCAAAATTCTCTTAGACTGTTGCTTTTTCTCTTGTTGTCAACTTGTCATTTAAAAAAATATAGTGCAAGTTATGAACTTCTTGTGCTACAGAATTTTGTTTGTTTGGGAACTTGAAAAAATAATTTTCTTTATCTAATCTTTACTTTGGAGCTTATTGCCATTTAATAGTCCTTTAAGTTTCATTTCTACAGATTTCATGATTCACTTATTAGGCTTGTCTTAGAGTCTGAATTTTCTCGGTGGTACAAAATTTTCTTTAGCATTTTGCTGTTGTTTTGACATTTGTAATTCTCATGTCATTTACTCAGGAGTTCATATGTGAGGAAGGGATTGGATTTGTACGCATAGATGGTAACACACTTGCCAGAGATAGATAGTTAGCTGTACAATCATTCCAATCATCAACAGAGGCCTGTACATTATATCTTTAATAGCTTCGTTGTAATTCTTTGGTTATAAACTTGTTATCTTTTGTGCGTCCTTGTATTTTTAACTAGTAATTTGTTGAAGTATTAAGGTGTATTCTTCTACATGCTTTTTGAATTCGAAAGGTTTTTGCATTGTGTACTGCAACATAATAAATGACTGTTTAAAGCTATTGCATGTTTCTGTGGGACCTTGTACTAATATCTATATCCTTTTCTATCAATCTTGAAATTTTACCGTTCAATTAAAAGCACAAATCAATATATTGGAAAGTAAACACAGGGATGTATAAAATCTTTGTTGGAGGTACAATTATTTTTTAATTCTTCCAGTGGCTTATATTAAAGTGTTGATGTCTTTTTTTTTTCAGGTTAAGATTGCCATTATTGGCATAACTGCTGGAGGGGTGGGCCTTGACTTTTCAGCAGCAAGATATGTTGTATTTTTGGAGCTGCCTCAATCCCCCTCCCTTATGCTTCAGGTATGTCATACTTAAATCCTATTCAACATCACTGAATCTGAACTCTTTTATATCTCAATAAGTGGTTGAAATTAATTTATTCTTCATCTGTTCTAATTTTTATGACATCTCTGTGAACTACAAAGCCAGTGGTTAAAAATAGTGGTAAAAAGCTGAAAGATTTGTCACAAACTTACGTTGAATTTAAAGAATAGTAGGTCCCCAAGTGTGTCTGCAATATTAGTTCACCAAATGTATCAGCATATCCATTATCCAAATTTGTTACTCATCTTACCATAGGCTATTTTTGTTAGGAGGGAAGGAAGGGCGGGGAAGGGAAGGAAGGAGTAATGGTGCAAGTCTGCATCTTTTGGTACAAAGGAAAGTTGGAGGGAAGGGAATGATGGTTGGATGAGGCATCCCTCCTAGCCCACCAGTTTTAATCTTTCCAAAATTGGATGGAACAGAAGGATAAGTATGATATATATCTTTCATCAATTTTTATAAATTTATATAATTAGGGTATACTGGTAAAAAATATAATACCCCTCCTCCCCTTTCCTCTTACCAAACAATGGAGGTGCCCTCCTCTTGCCTTCCGCTCAACCAAATAAAGAGGGGAAAGGCACCTTCCATTCTTAGGAATCTCATCTTTTCTTCCCACCCTCCCTTACATCCATTTTTCCATCCTTCGTACCAATCGAAACATTCTCGAAGTATGTTAGGTACATGGTTGATAATGCTCAAAAGAATTTATTTTTGATAGAGTCTGTGGTGATGTGATGGTCCTTTGTGTAGGATTGGCCTGAATCTTCTCTATGAGGCTCTGGTTGCAAATTATGTTAGAATGACTGTGAGGTTGGGGGCTGGGTTGGTTGTTGGGGTAAAGGAATGGTTTGGGGTGCTGAATTTCAATGGACTCTTCCGGAATAGAGATCTATTTGGCTTGTTGTATGATGTGTCGGTGGAATTGGGTAGGGTCGTCTTTGTTTTTCTGATGCAAATAACTAATAGTTTGAAAAGTGTTTAGTCAAAGTTTATTAAGTAGTATTATGGTATGAGAATCTGAAGATGTTATGGAAGAGTAAAAGTTGTTATTAATGCTTTGTGGTTAACTTAAAAGTTAGTCTAGAAAAGTCAAGTGTCATTAATAGTTGTCTTGAAAAGGGACAGCCCCTCTTATCTGCAGAAAAAGGAGAAGAGAGAATGTAAGAAAGGGTTGTAGTGTGCCTTTGACATCTCTAACTATGTATTTATATTAGTCAAAAATATAATTTAGAATAACACCCAGATGGTAAAATCCCACTAATTACGCCGCTGATTATGCTCACTAATTATGCTCATTACAAGAATATTTCCACATATCCAGTGAAGGCTTTTCCCAGATTTCTCCCTTTAGAAATCTAGGCTCCAACGGTGATTGGAGTAACCCTAGTCTTTCTTACTACTTTAAGAATTTTATTTTTTTCTGTGTGCTTCATTTTCCTAAGTTTGGGTTTTTATAGCTGGAGGGGAATAAGGGTGAGATAGAGAGTGAGGTATCTGGAGGTGTATGTGGAATGAAAGGACAAGGTGGTTGAAGTCGTAGAGTTAAACTACTTTGACATGTGGTAAAGCATCCTTTAGGTTCTTATTTCTGGATTACTCTTTTTTAAATGATTGTTTCACAGGCTCTATGTCTTTACAATGTTTATGCTCGGCCCTTCTTTTGTAATATTATTTGTATAGTTTGCTTCGTCTTACATAGGTTGTGCCCCCTTGACGCCTTTATAGTAATTCAATTTATCTATCAAAAAAGAAAAAATATATGAGGTTTAAATTTTATAAGGATTATTTACAAATTTGGGCTTTCTTGCAGATGATGTTTACCAACTGCCCACATGATCATATAATTGTAAGACGTTATTGTAAGCTGAAACCAATTTGGGGCGATACTAACAGCAGCCTAGCTTAAAAAAACTTATCAGGTGGTTTAAAAGTTACAAAATAAAATTAATTTCAAAGTTCTAAAGTTTTAAAAATCACGAGGGCAGGTTTGGGACAGAGCATCCCCTTTCCAGGTTGACTTTGAAAAAAGCATTAGCTCAGCATACCTGTTCTGGCCTAGAAAGTGGTGGAGCAAGGGCAAACATAATATAAAATAATGGGAACGGACAAATATTTCTATGACTATTAATGCATTGTTTTGTCTATATATGTAATTGATTAGGTAAATTTATATGGGAAACTTACTGTAGGGAGGTCCTTATTAATCAGCTGCCCCCATTTATTTTGCCATTAATTTGATACAGATCATGCAGGGCTGTTTGGGGAATCCTTGTAGGCTTGTACTTTGTTGAGTTATTGATCCTAATCCCAAACCCACCACTGCTTTAGTTAGAAATTCCCAAACCCATCCCGTAAGGGAGGGGTGGGCAAGTTTCCTATTTAACCAGGAAACTGCCATCCCTAGTCACGTGTCATGTTGGTCCAGTTTCAGTAATTTGTCACCATTTATGTGCATCCATAAAATTGGTCCATTGTGGATAGGCCTCCTAAGGTATGTGATGATAGGAGTGTTGGATGCGATCATGCGTCACAAAATTGGTATCGGGGATAAGCCTTATAGAATTCTTTCCCCGATGACATGTAATGATAGGAGTATTCTATATCATGGTGAGGCATTCAATTCCATCAATGTTCTTCACTACTCTTCACCTTTATTGGGTGCTTCATCCTCACGGATTTCAACTACAAAACAGTGAACAGTAAAATAATGTTATTATGTGATCGGAATTGGAGTAGCCATTGGCCTATTTTGTTGGCCAAGTGATTGGTCATTTTGTTCAACCATGGTGAGAATCCGACACATGTTCTTTATAATAATATTATTTAAATTTCATCTGATTGGTTAATCGAATCTAAGTACAAAGAAATCAAATATTAGAAGTTTGACAACTTACATAAGAAGATACACTAGCTCAAAGGTTACAGTTTTATTATGTATTTAAGAGGTCAAGGGTTCAGGTACATTCACCGCCAAACCAACCTAAGTCTTTATATTATAAAGATACCCAGTTTTGTTCTGTGACCCAGTCCAGTCTGTTTCTACTTTCTAACAGCACTTGCTTTTTGGATATGTAATGAATCTTAAGTTTATTGCTTTGCTTCATTATTTACCTTCGAACTTTCAAGGGGAACAGTTGCTCTCCTCAATTTAAAAGTAAAAATAAAAAGAAGAGAAATGGAAAATGCCTATTCATGCTTCTAGGATAAATGATATAACAAAAAAATTCCATTTTCTGAGTGGGAAATTAATATACAATTTTTCAGTAATCATATATATTCGAATATGTACATATTAATTCTTCCATAAGCATCTTATGCCTTTGCATGGTTTAATCATTTAAAGGCGGAAGATAGAGCTCACAGGCGGGGGCAAACCAATGCAGTCAACATATATATTTTCTGTGCAAAGGTATTCATTTCTTCTTCTTCTTCTTCTTCTTCTTCTTCTTTCTCTCTCTCTCTCTCTCTCTCTCTCTCTCTCTCTCTCTTAAATCCTTGAAATTCTTCTAACAAATATTTTTATTTCTTATGGTTATGTTGTTTCAGGATACTTTGGATGAGTCACGCTGGCAATGCTTGAACAAGAGTTTGCAACGTGTTTCTTCTACGACGAACGGAAAGTACGATGCAATACATGAGATAGAGGTACTCTTCTATAAGTTTTTTTAACCTATGTTGAATTTAAGATAGTGATTACTGCTTAGTATAATGCTAAAATGCTGGGTTCCAAGTGTGAGGATGGGGGCCGACCTAAGAGCAACCACTTTGTGCAAATCGATGTCAACGTTTTGGTCTGTCTCTGACTTGCTGGTCTTTCCCTTTGAGTATCCTGTGTATCGTGGATCAGTCTTTCTTTTTAAATAAGTGCTGCATGTAAAAAATTTGGGTAGCATTTGGCATAACTTGTTGGTCAGTTAAAATGAGATCTTTGCCCCATGATTCCTCATGAAAGAGATACAGGTGTTTGCTTGGGTGAAACACAGTGCTTTTTCAAGAAGTCATTCCTCTAAATGGCCATCTTTGAGTAGCCTCTAAGACTTGTTTTTTGGAACACTTCTCATGAAGCCATTAAGGAGTTGCGTGAAAAATGTTAGTTTCAAAATAAAACACCCAATTAACTACAGCAAACGAAAAATTCAGAGGGCCGATTCTGGGGCGACAAAACTCCAGGGTTTTTCTAGGGTTTAGGGTGTAGAAGATAGCGCCTCCATGGAGGAGGGACAACCCTCCTCCCCATCCAGGGTTGCGTTGACCCATCCATCTTCTTCTTGTCGACCTACTTGGAGCTCTCTGCTACTGGATTCTTCCACGTCAAGCTTTACTCCTTTGACATATTACAGTGAAAGCATAAATATGGAGTGTGTGGTCATTGAAGATGAGGATATCGCTGATGAGTTACGTTATTGGGCGAATTCTGTGGTGTGTTATGTGTTGGGGAGTAAACCCTACTTCCCACACTTCAAGGCGTACGTTCAAAAGAGGTGGGACAAGGATGTAGTTGTCGTATCATTGAAGGAGGGGTTCTTCCAAGTGCGGTTACCATCCGAGGAGGATGTTATGCAGATCATGTCGCGATTTCACATGTTCCAGGGCAGTGATAGTCAAGACATGGCACAGGAGTATTCAGTTAGAGCGTGACATCTTATCTTCGGTGCCAGTGTGGATGAGGTTTTTTGCTTTTGTAGATTGATTTAGGTTAGATTTGTCAACTCTAATCTAGATCTCTTGTTTGAAGTTTGATTAAAATTTGTGTTTGAATTTTTTAATCTAGATCTATGGATTCTACTCTGTTTTTTCATCTTGTATTTGTGTGACATTAGGATGATTTTGTTGACTAAACATGCTTTAGTTTGATAGTATCGGTTATTGTTCATGTTTAGGTGCATATATGGTCAATGTATTTTTTGGCAATGGCTTAGAAATAATACGAATTCATATTAAATTATGCTTATGAATTTAACAAAATTTGTAAAAAAATCATTAAAAGCTCAAATTGATGGTATTTTGGGATTAAAAATAGTTATTTGTCCACGATTTGGGAAGTTGTGCAATGAAAAACTCACAGTACTAAACCCTGAGGGGTTGGCCCAACTGGGTAAGTCCCTGGTGCCTCAGGAAGCATCAGGTCTAAGGTTTGACTCCACTTGGGTGCAAACAATTCCTTGGAGGGGGGTGCGTGAGTACCAACTAGGAAAAAAAAAAATGAACAGTACTATCATTATGTTATCATGGTTTCCATTATATTCGGGGATCACTACGCAATGACTATTACCTTCATTGCAGTCATTACTGGGTAACAAAATTAGGAATCATGATCTTACCAACAGTTCAGTGTTGGCAACTGAATTATCCATCGGATAAAAGTTAAAACTTGAAGCTTCCTTAAATGCATTCTTTAGTTAATGCTAATGTAATGTTTCTCCATCAGCTACATTTTTTGGAGAATTCTAATACATATTTTTGGTTTGGAACTTTAGTAGTTAAAATTTTGTACTTTGGGTTTTGAAAACTATCAGCACTACGAACTTCTTGTGTTTTTTTTTATAATGCTCAAGATTAATCATTCTTGCAACCTCCCTGTCTCGTAAGGAGCTTGTTATTCCTTCCAAACTTGGCCCTCTGCCTGGTAGACTGATTTGTTGTGCTATGTTTTTTGGAAAACAAAAAAAAAAATCTAATTTATCATCCAATATAGCACTTGTGATATTAAAATCTTCTTTATTAAAGTATTAATATCCTTGGAAGTTATTAGTGGTTATGGACTATGGTTTCCTTTTTGGTTCTAAAAGTATGGACTGCATGTTTCTGTTTTTACAGATTCAAAGTGTTTCTTATCTAGAAACAGCTGGAAAATCAGGTGGAAGTTGTGAAAAGTCATTTCTGGAGACAGCAACAAATGGTGAACTTTCTTCAGTGGAATTAAAAAAAATTCCTAATATTAGCTTAGATGAAGAATTAAGGCCTACTGAACCACATGATGAAATAGTTGAAAAGGCGAATAAGATATATGACCGAGAGAATGAAATGGGGAGTATTTCATCCAAAAACAACAACCGTTGTATTGAGGAGGTATTTTTATGTTAAACAGATAAAAAAGATCTTGTAGCTTCCCACTTGTGGCACAGTTTTGCTGAAAATATTCAAATTTGAATAGGCTGACATGGTTGGCAATCGAAACATGGAAAATTGTTCTGTCCTAGATGGTGGAGTGGGAGGAACAGCTTCTGAAGCTAGAACTGGAAATGCTGGAGGACTTTTTCTCCATGATTTGAAGGAAAGCAGTGAAGAGAATAATAATCTGGAAAAGGTATAACTTATATAATTTGTTTCCATTGAGTGCAAATTAATTATTTTTCTTAATGTGTTCTTCTCTCAGTTCACTTGAGGTTAATAAATATGACAATGCAGGCAGACAATATATTAATTGAAACAGCAGGGTTAAAGAATGGTGGATCTGTCGAACTGATAGAAGCTGATTCAGTAAGCTCTACCCGAGCAGAATTTCTTCGCTTTGAGGTAGACCACTGATCTCTAATTTTTATTTACATGTTTATGTGTATTTCTTTCTCATTTAGAAGCTTTGTTGGAATGAATTATAAAATTTGTAAATTTAGTGTGTCAAATTCAATAAGCATTAGTTCTATCTGTTCATTTATTATCGTCATATGATGATATATAATGTGGAAAATCTCATCTATGATAACTAATTAGGTAACTATTGTGTTTTTGGTTCCAAGTTCCAACTGTAGTATTCCCCGAGGTACCATGACGTGAACGTGATCCTATGAATCTATATCTTGTGGCAGCCTTTCTTGGTTTCACCCTAAGGTCACTTGACTTTTTTTTTTCCCCTAGTTATGGTCACTTGATTTCGCGTTTGGAAACTATTAAACCTGCTATAGCCATGAACCTTGCTTCGAGGAGTGAACAGCATGGTCGGGAGATCAGGTTGTATTTTGCACTTATGCCAGGCGTAGGCATAAGCATATGATGAAAGAAAGTATGATGACATGACAACATATGTCTGAAAAGGTGGATTATAGACCACTCTAACCTATGGGTAGGCGTGAGCTTTTCTCTAATTACCCCTTCTAACTAACGGGTATAACCTGAGTACTTAAGGCTATAAATAGGGGAGGTATTGGAGAATTGAAGGCAGAACTGAGAAGTTATCAACTTCATAAATTGGTCTTTTTTGTCCTTGTCTTTAGTAGAACTTTCCCCTACCATCACTCAACTTCTTCATGTTGGTTTACTTCCTCTCCTTTAATCTCTCTCTCTTCTGTATCCATCATATTTGTATAGTGATACTGTTGGCAAATATGATAGCCACAATTTATGGAATGACTTACCTTATTAGCATAGATCTAATTATGCTATAGAATATGCCATAGAATATTCTGTGATTTGATTTAGATTTTATTTTATTTCCTTTCTTTGATTTAGATTTGATTTTATTTCCTTTCTTGTAATATGAGCATGTGCTCTTTACTAGAGTTGTATAAGTGATTATCTCATTCAAGCCTTTACACAATTTTTTCATTTTTCTTCTTTTTATATTTCTACTTGGTATCAGAGCCAGGGTGGTCCGACTGCAATGAGGGCATTGCGAGTTCAGCACCACCCATTCGGGAATGGTCTAAGGTGACATCACCCATCCGGGAGGTGTCGGGTAGGCAGGGTCTTCTTTTATTATTATTATTATTATTATTATTTTATGGTCCGACGAGACATTGTTGATTCTTTCATCTATATGTGTTAAACATGTGTATGAAGGAAAATGGTCTGAGGAGACATGATTGGTTGTTTACGGTCTGAGAAGACATTTTTGATTTGTTGATCGGCACTTCATTTGAGAGAAAATCATCGCTAGTCAGATTTGCACTCTGCAACTTGTAGATTCTGAAGAAGGGTGCTAGCAAGACTGTGTTTAAAAAGACCGTATTTAAAGATTCATTGTTCAAGTTGGGCGTCTCAGATATCTACGTACCAACTTAAGGGGGAGTGTTAGCAAATATGATAACCACGATTTATGGAATGATTTACCGTATTAGCATAGATCTGATTATGCTATAGAATATGCTATAGAAAATTCTGTTATTTGATTTTATTTCCTTTCTTTGATTTAGATTTGATTTTATTTCCTTTCTTGTAATATGAGCATGTGCTCTTTTTTATCTATAAATACTAGAGTTGTGAATGAGTGATTATCTCATTCAAGCATTTACACAATTCTATCATTTTTCTTCTTTTTATATTTCTACTGATACCATAATATATCTACTTTTAGTCTTGTTCTGGACGTAGTACCTTCAAAATCTAATTGTGTAAGGAAATAATAATTTTACGGGCCTTGATAATACAAGAAAGTAAAAATTTTAGGAAGTCTAACAATACAAGGAAATATTAATTTTAGTGGCCTTACTATTGGCTACGGCCTTAGGCGACTGCCTAAGGCTCCAGCCTCCCCTAGGTTCGCTGAACGGCCGGTTCGGAGCGAACTGGCCGGTTCACAATGTGCTTGAAGGGAGCCAATATTGGTTCCTAGATTATCAGCACACATACTATCTTTTATTTATTATATTCCAAGTCTCTAACGTGTTTATTTATCCAATCTTTAAGAATGGCACTACTAACTTGTTTGTATATATATATTTTTTCCTTCTGACATGTTATATATGGTATGAATTTTGATTTTATTAACTGCTTACATATATTATTATTATTAAGTAATTCAGTAAAAGAAACAATAAACATGGCTTTTTAATAAGAATGACAACTTAAAATTAGTAAATAGGTTGTTATGTGTGTTTTTATTGTCTTAAATATTCAATAAAATTTACTAAAATTCGTTTTATTAAATAATGCAATAAAAAAATAGTGTGTTGAACTAGGAAAAAAAAAAAAATAGTGTGTTGGTAATTTTTTTGGGTTATGTGCGAAGTCGAAAAAAATTCACAATCGCGAAAACCAATTTTGGTACATTACGCACAATGTTATCAAAGGCTCAAGGTGCACTAAGGCGCTAGAGGTCGTATGGAGCCTAGGCGCAAGGCAAGGCACGTGCCTGAGTGAAGCAAGGCGCACAATTGAAAATTTTAATTACTATTAAAGCATATTTTATATTCCATATTAAAGGCCAAGTGTTGTCAAAGGCACACCTAGGCACACGATAGGCGCAAATGTTCCGGTTGTACGAGCTTGGAGCCTAGGCGCGCGTTTAACAACACTGGTTACACATATACAAACCAAAGTCTGTTACACCACGTCTGCGATTGCAAACCATAATTATTTGTGATTAGCTTTGCAGTATCAGCCCTGGTATTTCTCGGAGTATCAGTACAATAAGTCTCCAGAGGCGAGTAATCCTTAACCATGGAGAATTAACGGAGATCATAGTGTGATTTGCACTTATGTTAGGTTTTGGCATAAGCATATTTTATTAGAGTTCTTTTTGTATTTTTAATTTTAGAATTTATTTATTTAATATTTTATTTTCCTTAATTTTTAAGATTTTTTATTTAGTGTTTACCTATAAAAGTCCATATGCAAAGAAAATTGAAAGTACAAAGAATTTTCCCCAATTGTAGAGAGAGAAACTTTACACTCCCAATAATTTTTTCAACCCCTTTTCCCTCTCAATTCCTTCTATTTATAGACGGTTACAACCACTCCTGGCCTAGACCTAACTTCTTCTCTTTTGTTTGGGCTCAACTTCTTTCATCATAACATGGGCTCCCGTAATGACCTCTTGGATCTGTGCCCATTCAGCGTGGACTTGCTCCATCCTGGCTATCCATACCCGACCCATTCTTAGCAATACGAATCATACCAAGCCTGGATCATCTTTGGTGTCTTCATCTGCCCCCAATAATCTCTCCCTTCATTAATTAGGGTGAGATTATTGAAAAGACACAATTTTGGTCTGACGGCTTGGAGCGATGACACGAGGAATTGAACGGCTGGCACAAAGACCCAGACTTCGAGATCTGCTGCGCCACTTTTGCCTTGACCTTTTGAATTCTGTGTCGCCTCCATTTCTTCTCTTTAAAAACCCTGATCCTCTCAACCTTTATCTTCCTTTAACATATCCTACTTTTATTCTCCGTTGTCGTCTTCCTGAGTTTTGTCTGTCACCTTCCTGCACTTTCCGGCGATCTTTCTTCAGTTTCTCTGGCGAGTTTTTCCTTCGCGATTTTGGCTATTGTGTTGTTGCTGAGTACTTCACAAACTCTCAAGGTCAGTTTCTTTTTACTACCCTTTTTGAAAAAAGAAACCTTCACTATCATAGATTCCTCCCCTTCTCCATGGCTCCCTCAAATCTGAACGCCATTCGTTTCAAGAATAGCATTCCCAATGATGTCTCTCTCAGGATCTACCCTACAGACTTAGATGGGAGCTCTGGTGAGGGTCTCCTTCCTGGGGAGGTTTTATTTTCTGCCGTCCATTTAAACGTCATTAGGTTCCCTTTACACCCATTCTTTTGCTACGTTTTCAGTAAATTGGGGCTCTGCCTTTGCAGGTTAACCCTAACTTCCTTAGGGTAATTTCGGTCCTTTTGCTCTTGAACCGTGATAGGGGTCTCAATCTTGATATCATTGATCTCCTCCTCTGCTACCAAATTAACAAAATCAAACAAAGTATCTTTCCTATTGACAAACGGTCAATCTGTACGGATAAGAACTCGTTTGAAAAAGGTTGGAGACAAAACTTGATTGGGGTTAATGGAAATTGGCGGACTCCGTTCGGCCAATCTTTCTCTATCTCTTCCTCCTTTGGAGTATGCTCTGTCTCTGGTTACAAAAAACTGAAAACACATCCCACTGAATGCCACTGTGAAAGTTGCCTTCCCCGTTTTTGTACTTTTCTTTGTAGATGTCTTCAAATTCCTCATGATGAACTGGTTTATAGCGTTTGCAGGGCCAGGCTAGACATCTTACAAGAGAGTGCGCTGAACAACGTCCCTTCAGCTACAGACTTGCTTACTCCTGACAACCTCTCTGACATCTCTCTCCTAGGGTCTACAATGGAGAGCATTCAGATTCCATCTTTCAGCAGGAGGTGGCGTCCTGCTCCCATCCCTTCTGCTGCTCCTGTTACCATATCTTCCTCAACACCTGCTACCACATCATCCACCTCTGCTGTCTCTGCCCCTGAACAGGTTGTGACTGCTCCAGTTGTGACTCAAGTCATAGATCGTTCTGCTGTTGGGCTTTCTGAGTCCACCCATGCTGAGAACCTTGCTGTGGGTCATTCTGCTGAGGCCCATCTTGCTGCTCCCATCAATGTGCCTTCAAACATTCTATCTGACACTTCTTCAAAGAGCACTCTGGATGTTGGGGGTTCTCAGAACAATGGAGAGCCAGTTAGTGTTGGTATGTCAGAGAAAAGTTTGGGAAAGAGGCAAATGCTTAAGGACGAACATGACCAGAGTGACGTCCCACCACCCCGGAGGACCAGGACGGCCTCTTTCAGGATTACTGAACCCCTGCCCCCAGCTCGGTTTTTCATTCCAG